CATGAAAATTAGTTAAATGTGATCTTACATGATTTGCATTCTTGTGCTCTTCAAAGAGTATGTGATTTGAAAGTCCTGGGTGGATGCTGCTTGCATCTGGAAATATGTTACCATTACTCTTCCATACTTTAAAATATTGCTGATCTGGAATCTACGCTTGGTTTTAATTTGAGGTAATAGAGCTAGTTTCTTAAATGTTATTTTCTATTACTCTGACAAACTGTTTTTGTAATTTTTCCTTTTCTTTTTCCTGTAACTTTTTTTCTGGTACTGTACATAAGTTCCCCAAGTCTATTTGTTTCAAAAATCAGTCCGTTTTAAAAACTACAAAGCTTTGCTCCTATCCTTGTTTAGTTTTCATCATTTTAACTTTTTTTTGGTGTGGCAAATATTGACTTTTTATTTTGTTAATTTTATTTTTATACAATATCTGTCACAACAGAATCCTATTTTCTTACATTAATTTGCTAGGTATTGCCATGACTAAAGTAAAGTTAATAAAACAAGTGTTTCAGGCATCTGCTGCCAAAATCAGGCATGAAAGTGTTGGATTTTGGGTGACTTTGCTTGTTTGTTTTTATGTGTACTAACCAAATTTGCAGCTATAGGAAAAACAATACAATACAAAAAATGAAGTCAAATGTTGCAGTCTCTTGGTGACAGGACAGACCAGAACAATTCAAAAAGATTATGCTGCTTTCATATTTGAATTATGAAGTCCATTATTTTCATTCAACTTTCTGTGGATATCCCCAGAATCAATACTACACTTTAGCAGTCCTAAACTTCTCCTGAGAAACAACTTGTGTCTGTTGCACCACCCCAAAAAGTCACTTACGAAATCAATTTTTAAAAGCCACATACAAGCATTGTGGGTTTTTTTCAACAACTTTGTACAAGTAAAAAAGATATCTCTGTTGCTAGTGATTGTAGTCTAGACAGTTAATTTTTGTGGACAGCCTGAGGACTCTTATTTTAACCAACTGTATAAGACTGTTGATAACCTCTTGGGTCTTGCAAAGTAGTTAGGGATTCTCTGATGTCTGGGATACTCCAAACTCCCCTAAAAGTTAAAAGAAGTCAAGGATGATCTCGAGGGCATTACAATGTACAAATGGAGGGCTGAGTGTTCTGCAAGATCTGAGTACTTCTACTGTCTGCTATTAATAAATTTAGACAAGATTTTATCTGAAACATAATGAATGACATTTTTTTCTGGTTCAGGTAACGTAATGATTTAGAACTCACTGTTAGGTAGAGGACTAACTAGAAGCTCTCAAGGACTGGCCACCTATTTTTGGCATTCTGGCATTTCTCATAGCTAGCAGGGTGCTGCAAATACTGCAAGGGTAAAAAATTTCACCATGCTTCAGAGCTGAGTATTTAAATGTGTGGAAGCTGGCCCTGTGCAGCAAAACCAGGACATTTCTTAAAGTATTTAGCTATCAAGTCTCACTTTGAGTTTCATAAGGCTCAAGCAGCCAATGATGTTTTGCCCTAGATCAAGATCTTAGTTGTAAGAAATTGTCAAACAAAACTGAAAAGACATTTTTGCTGTGAGGAATCACGATATATTGTTCCTCTTCTGCTTACAGTACTCCTTAAAAAGATAAATGGTATTGTTCCTTCTTCTTTTATTTTCTTGTTTTGTATCACAGCTCAGGACTGTGGCATATTAATTCTTTCCCACCTATGTGGTTATCCTTGTATGAATGTCTTCCATGTTTTGCTGCAAAAGGTGCACATCTGTCTTTTCTGTGAATCAAAACAGAGATATAATTCTGCAGCTATGCAAGAATAGTATGCAGGGTGACGAACTCCTCCATTTTCCTCATTTTTTCCTAAAAATGAACTCTTTTCCCTCCCTTCCTTTTACAGTGTGCTCTGTGTGACCTGTTGGACTGTTCATGATTGCTGAAGTCCATATTGCTGAGTAGATCTTCTGAGTTTAAGCATCACTTATGATCATTTAAAAAAACAAATAATTACAAAATTCTCCCCAGTGAACAATTTTCTACACATTCACATCACAGGCCTCCCCACATGGCTTCCAGCACAACAGAACATTTTTTCCCAGGAGTGCATGAGGCTTTCATGAGGCCAGAAAGACCCTTCTGAATGGTGTGATTAATGCACCATCCCCACACAAGGAATTAGATATCCTGTTCCTGACACACAGACTCAAACTATATTAATCTGTGTGAAAAGCCTCCCATTTGCTGAAGAAGCTGTATTGCTACAGCTGTATTTTTTTTTCCTGTTGGGAATTTATGTCACTGTTTACTCTAATTAGAAAAGGGCAGCCTTAGTCTCAGTGGGCCAGATCTCTTACAGCCATCAACATATCCTGAAGGATTTTTGCTTTTCTCCTTCTCTTCAAAATATTGTTTGATTTGTAATCACATTTCTGTCCATCTACAGTGGAAAATGAAACAAACAACCCATATTACGCTGTTCTGCTCAATTTGTCATATTTTTGCTTCTGTTTCAGTCTATGGTGTCTCTTGATGTTTGGAAGGAGAGAAAAAGAAAGGCAGGCTGAAAAATGGTGTTTCCAAAACAGCATAATGTTCAAATACATGGGAAAAGAAAAAGAAGGCAGTGCTGAAACATTTTAAGTTGTCTGGAAATACATAAAAAGAAAAAAAAAAAAAAAAGGAACAGGAGGAACAGGGAGGATAGGGAGGATTGCTCCTGAAAGCTGGGTTACTGACTTGGAGAAGGGTCTGTCTTTACTGGTTGTGATTGGGCAGTTTTGTCTTCTGCAACAGCATCACGCCACTGATGCAGAGATGCTCAAGCAACACTGTTACGTTATGTCCTATAACAAATAATCAGCTAGGAGAGGCTTTTAGTAGCAACACCATTGTTCTTCCCTTGCCAGCTGTTCATGCAAAGGCTTAGAGGTAAGAACAAGGGATGCCCTGCAGAGATTTTGAAGTTCCCACAAATGTATTGATCAGCACAGCTATCTAACAGGGCGGATTGTTTTTTTTTCCCAGGGCCAGGTGCCAGTGGTCCTACTTTAGCAGTGTGAAGGTCTGTCTTCTTATTGTACTCCTTGCACTACAGACTCTTGTGTGCATGAGAAATCCACTGAGCACACAAAGTACTGGAAGCACAATGCAGGTCAGATGGCTTAGAACTGTCAATACTTGAGAGCTTGAAACAGTGTTTCCCAAACATGCACTTAGCTCCAGCCACTTGTCCATACCTACAACTGAAAGGAGCATTTTTGCAGCCAAAATAAAATAAGTGGAAGTACAGCCTCATACAAATTACTGTACCACAAAGATGAATGAAGAAACCTCATCTGAGGAACAAAAAGTAAACTTTAATTAGTATTTTTATACTTTTGTAGTTCTTACAGCACAGCATCCTGTTTTCCACTATAAACTATTAAATATAGTATACATGGTCTTAGAAGGTGTTTGGAAATATTAAAGATCTAAAATCCTTGTCAACATGGCAGGCACAGCAGGTAGTGGTAGTTGATTTCCTTATGGAATAAAGATAATCCATAAAATTATTCAGTAGCACTACTCATGCATCTACTATGCATTTGTTATTTCAGAACATAGTCTCAAAATGGTCAGAAATGCCACTGATGGTGTGATTTAGGACAGAACTAATTCTGTTAAGTGACTTTACTCTTCATCTAAGTCCTTTTTAACTAACTGCACTTTCTGAAGCTAATGGCAGGTTTTTGCAGAGAATGTCTGCTTCTAGCAGTGATGACGCTCCACGTTTAGAGTGTTGTGGTTTGAGGCTTGGAATGGGGGCGTGACCTTCCAGCAACTGGGAGGACCCCGGGTGGGGGTGAAACCATTGTATTCCCTCCCCTTCCCACACACACTCTGATAAGAGGCAGGGAGTGGTTTTTTGTTTCACTCTTGCCTTGGAGCTCAGAGAGGAAAGTTCTCCTTTCACTCCGTGGGACCCTGGAACCATTTCTGAGGGTTTTGTATATTTTATCTTTTGTATTATTCCCCTGGTCTTTATATATATTATTTTCCTTACCTCCCTTTTTCGTTTTCTGTTCCTTGTTGAACAATATACTTCATTTATTTCTAAAAAGTGTCTCTCTCTCTCTCTCTCGAGGGGGTGGGGGAGAGGCGAGTACACAGTTCTGTTCCGTGTGGGTCCTGCCCTGAACCCCTTTTTACACGGAACCAGGACATAGAGGTACCGCCAAGGACTGGTATGCAGAAAGGCTCTTGCTTACACTTGCTCCTGTGCAGACTAAAGTCACTGCTGAGTCTTCTGTACCATTTTGGGTGTACAGTAAGTGAGAGGTCACACTTGCAGGGAGGAGCAGATAGGACAGAGGACCCTAAACTGACCAATGAGGTGTTCCATGTAGGTCATATTCAGTACAAAGTTGAGGCATCACGAGGGTCAGTTCTCCTTCTTCAATGGTCAGTGTTCGAGAAGGACTCTGTCTGTTCTGCCTTCAGTCCCAATCCATATGTTTCTGAATCTAATTCCAGAATCAACTCATTGAATCCAGTTCCCTTCTGCTGCTCAGTCCAGTCCTGGGACTTTCCCCAGTGCCTGCCCACAGCATCAGTGGTGAGGGTGATGTAATCGCCATCAGGAGGGTTAGGTTTAACACTGATTTTGTATCAATAATTTATTGTTGTTACTTTCATTAAAAACATTTTACTTTTCTTTTCCAGTCCATAAGTCTCTCCCCATTATTCTCGTTCTCTTCTCCCTGGGGAAGGGAGAAGGGTTAATAGAGAGTGTCTGTCATTTGTCAAGTGACTGGCCCAGCTCTAACCCTTGACAACTGATTACACCTGGAAATTCATTTGACTGTTTTGCAGCCAAGATTTTGCTACCCATCTATGCTCTGTTTTGTGCATTTCATTTTCCTACTGCGAAGTATCTCTGGTATTTCACGTAGCTGCAAGATGTATCAAAGCTGCAAGATGTGGCAGAATGCTTCTTCCCAGTTTTTATGTTAGGTTCACTCTTTGGAATTACGTTTTTTTCAGATCCACTATGCTGGTGCTGCTGACAGTTCCGTTCAGTTTATCTTCTATCAGCCTATCATTCATCGATGGAGGGAAACTGATTTTTTTCCTTGTTCAGCATCCTGTGGAGGAGGTAATAAATACCACTTTTTTACTTTTACCACCAGAAACAGTCATCTGCATACAGGATCTGTCCCAACTACTGCACTCATATCTGGACATTTAAAATCGGCAAAATCTGAAAATGAAAGTAGCTACTTTTAAATGAAGGGAGGGATATAGCAACAGTGGTAGTAGCCTGTAGATTTTTTAGCACCATGACAGGCTCTGTGCATAAGTGTGTTTTGATATCCACATGACAGTATTTAATGCTACAGATGTCAAACATAAAGGCTGGTGGCATTTGGGCCCACTTTCAAACCACAATGTCTCCATTTGCCCCTGTCTCCACCAGCAGCTTTACCGTCTGAATGGAAACTGAATGTTTGACTCTTGGTGACTTGAGACACCTCAGTGCTTGTTTTTTTTTTTTTTCATTTTGCTCTAGGTTTCTTAATTTTTATTTGACCATACTGGTTGTCTTCTGTTTCCTACTGTATGTGATTTAAGTTGTTGGTTTTAATCTGACCTGTAAATCAACAGCTGTTGTGTCTAAAAGTGCTGATATTTTCAGTTTGCTTTTTACCAGACCAGAACTTAGATGCACTTCAGAGACAGGAAGAACACCACATCACACATTATTTCTTCCACTTTGTATTGCAGGTTATCAGCTGACATCTGCTGAATGTTTTGATCTGAGAAGCAATCGGGTAGTAGCAGATCAATACTGTCACTATTATCCTGAAAATATCAAGCCAAAGCCAAAACTTCAAGAGTGTAATCTGGATCCTTGCCCTGCAAGGTCAGTAAACTCTAATTTTAAAAGTGACTTGGCTTTAAAGGTGTAGAGTGAAGTAGTAACATACACTGTTACTATTGCCTGCAGTTTCATTTAGCTTACATAATTTAAACTCTTTCTTATCTTGAGGATGTATGGTATAGCTGTTTATGACCTCTACATTGCATGGACTAATTTGAAATGGTTGTTTCTTCCCCTCAGATTGTGTTTTGCCTCATTAAATGTTGTAAACTGTGAGAAAACAAATTGTCCATCATCCAGCCCCATGATCAACATGTGCCTCTTAAGTGTTAGTAATATGGTGAAAATTATCGTGGTGTAAAAATGCTGTAGGAAAATGGTCAGCATCACAATTAGAGACATCATTTTTATGGAATTTTTACATATTCTCCTTAATAAAAAGCTTACTTGTAGTCATGATGTCTTGTAAAACTGTAATGCAGGAATTTGTTCTAATTATCAGTACCCTTTGGACCTGCACAAAAGACTCCTCTCTACTACCCTGCCAAGCATTCTTTTTCAGAAGATTAATAGTAGAAAATAATATCACAGAGTCAGATTTCCCATGCATAAGAAAAGGAACAAAAACACAAAAAAGACCAGTCTTTTATTATACTGATTCTCCTGAACTTCAGTGGAAAAGTCAGGCTTCATCTGCTCATAAGATGCAAACATTTATTTGTGTGATCTAAACCTTTTAGTCTTCTTGTGTGGCTTTGCTAAAAGGTGGTTAAGCACAGCACAGCAGGCATGTGTGCAAGGAAGCCCTAAAGCCATTTATTTACCTGCTCCTTTCCCTCTAGACTAGTTTTATCAAGTATGATAAAGCAAGTTCAAACATCATCACCTAAAAAGTTGCTCTGGCCCTTCAGATTGCTAGATGTTTACATAGAAAAAGAAGATGTCCTAGCCAGGAGAAGAATGCTGTAGGAATCTATGGGACTATGTATTCACAAAACTGAGAATGATTGGTTCCCAAACCAGGTATACCAGCTTTAGAGTAGCTAGGCATTATCAGAGCAGAACAAGTCACTCTAGGCCAAAGATAATTTTTACCTCTTCTATGAAGATTTCTTTAAAGTTAAGTGACTTTTCATAACTGCAGTTAATACTCTAGGCTTCTTTGTCACTGAAGACACATTTAGCCAGAGTATGCAACAGTTTATATTCCTTTGTCCTAGTAAACACGTTTTTAATAGTAATGATGTTTGTAAATAATTAAAAGACAGATATGTTCTTATATGGTTTAAAATTTGAGTTAAAAATCTCACAGAATTAAAAAGTGGAAATATCAAATCCCAAAATCCAACATTCTCTCAGTTGTGTTGTACATTCTTTATATTGCATACTTTATCATGTATTTAATTAGGACGTATTAAGGATATAAAGTTAAGAATGGAGTTTCACTAGGGCTTTGTGAAAAGTATTTCCTGTTAGACATCTACTCAGCAGTGATTTTTCAACTTAGAGATTGCCTTCCCACAAGGCAATGCAACTAGACCGTGTTTTCCTTTAATAATGTTCTGTGAAGTTCAGTATCTGGCTTCTCTTATCACAGAACTTTCCATACAAAATTGTATGTTTAATTTCTCAGGTTATTCAAATATATTAACAGTTGTAACTAGAAACCTTACTGTAAAAAAGTTCGTGTATTTTTTTCCTCAGTGATTATCTCAGATCAAAAACTGTTTCATTGAGTTCCCCTTTGAAATTTCTGACACAAATGTCAGTAAAGTAAAGGCCAGGTATGATCAGGTAAGAGACCTAAATATGAATCCCTCAGGAAAAGGATTGCTGGAAGGTGTGAATTGATTTGGAACCTGTATTTTAGATTCATCTCTCACATTACCAGTGAGACAGTAATTTTATGTATCTGCTTTTTCTTTTTTTTCTTTTAAGCCTGAGCTGCTATTTTTAAAAATACAGTTCTGAGTCAAATACGTACATTGCCTGTGGAATTTGAACTATGGGTGTTTTTGATACTTTTCCTGATATTTTTAAAATACATTGTCAAATATTAAGACAGATAACTGCATGGTAATGGAGAAAAGAAAGAAGAAAAATAACGTCTGAGCAGATATCAGAAAGCGATTTTTGTTTTATATAAGATACAAGGTAAAGTTGTTGATATAAATACTTTGAGGAGAGGGAGAGTCATTTAGAAGTACAGCTATGCCATCCCAGGGTACAGGCTGTAACAGAGAAGAAATGGCTTTTGGGAAACATCCTGACAGAATGCCAAATTGCAAATTATTATTTTCAAAAGTGCCTTTGTAAAGTATTTAAGTATCAACAACCCAGACAGAAAACCAGAGGAAATCTGTGGTAAATTCCAAAATCCTGATGCTTCCTTATGGTCAGGAGGAGAGAGGTGAAGTAGAACAGTGGGGTCAAGAATGTGAGTGAAGAGAGCATCTTGGCTCTACAGTGACTTTGCTGTTTGGGAGCCAGTCTGCTCCACTGCCATAAAATGAGTATATTAATTTTTCCTGGCAAACCTAGGTCCAGTGAGACATAGTTGATTACTGGTTGCTGACTGTTCTTTGGTGTTCCAATGAACGTGACAGAAAACAATCATGGAAGACCACAGTGGTGCTGAATTAAGCAACCAAGAAGGGTTACTGTAGGAGAGCTTACATTAACATTTTCAGCAAAGGCTAGGCTGAAAAAAAAAGTTTAAATGAATACCAGGAATATTGTGTGGGCCTGCAGTTAGTTGCCTCTTCAGGCTTAGTAAATAGAAAGTTTTACTTTGCTGTGTTTATTATGACAAAAATTAGCAGTATTGCTGACATCTAAATTAGCAGTATTGCTGGCATCTTGAGCAGCAAAAAAAGCTTCAAGTGAATGAACATGGAAAATGAATCAACGTTTCTTCCTAGAAACCCAGTTTCTCATATACTCAGAGGAGACGCAGTGTGTGGAAGGTTATTTTTCATACATACATAATTCATACATGTTCTTTCCCAGGTTGAGTAAAGGTGGCCTGTCCACCTAGGTAAGAGTGGTGATTAGTGTCTTGTGAGATAAAGGAGGCATCATGAAACAGAGTGTCCTTTAATTCCTACATACTATCAAAACCCTGTCCAGTCTCCCTTGTTGACCTTGATTGGTATCTGACTCCTGCCTTAGAAAGACAGAAAGATCTAATTGCTTTCAATCCATTAAGACTTTACAACAGCCTCCACTTTACAGGCAAATATACATATAATGTCTCTTCAAGTAAATAGTGCAAAGTTCAATCTGGTTCACTCCCCTTCTATGTGACAAAACCCAGCATTGAGATTTCACATATTTAATTAATTGCAAATCCTTTAACTACCCAAAACTTTGCAGACTGGAGGGTATAGGAGAGTTTTTTTAGCTATCATCAGGATCTTCCTGTCTGATATTCTCTAATGAAAGGTGAATGGATATTTTTTTCTTCTTTCATTATATTTTCTTATATTTTACTTAACTGGATGTGGTAAACATTTACTTAGGACAACCCTGAGGTGTTATAAAGTGGAGATATTGTTTCTGTCATAATTCAAAGGCATGCCTCCAAAAAAGCAATTTTTACAAAGATGAAAATGCTTTTAGTGTACTCATCATTCACCAGCATACTCTATAGAGCAACATCAGTACTACTTCTGGATTTCATCTGCAGTTTTTAAGAGGGATTCCTAGCTGCACTGTTCTGCATTTTTAACTAATTTCCTCTATTTTTTGTCTATCTTTGCTACATATTAATGTGGCATTTCCTGAGTTACAAAAGCTCTACCAGTGTTTTTAAAAAGAGATTTCAATAGTGTATAAAGACTTCAAAAGGCATTGTCAGCAAAGATTCTAATTTCACACAGCAACTGTCTCAAAATTTCGTATTGGCAAGCCTGTAACATGTGGGATTCTTTTTATCACTTTGCCAGTAACACCAGTCTGATCTGTGCATGCAAAAATCCTGGAATTTGCCTATAACATTACATGTAAACCTACTGCCAGAAGTAATGAGAGTACCCATGCAAAGTCTGGGAAAAAAAATCTCTATTTCAATCAAGACTTTCAGTACTCAGAGACCTGAAGGAATTCTCAGATATCCACAGTTTATAGAGTCCTCCAGCAAAATGGCAAACTTTTCTTCCTATTCATCAAAGTTTTTCTTTTGGCATACTCGCATAACTATCCATACTAGGGGATGGTGGGGGCAGATATCAGCAAAGAGAAACTTAAATAAAATTGTGCTTTCATTTGTGATTTTTTTTTTAGCTCATTTAGCAAGAGCGATGAAGTACAAGTAAAAGCAAATAAAAGACTGCTAGTGTATTATGATCACTCCCTGTAGCCTGGAGTATCGAGAAGTTCCCAGTATAGCTGGTGATGTGTGTGTATAAAATTTCCTGGGCAACAGTGCAAAACATTTTCATGATAACTTTTTTATATTTCTTTCAAAAGAAAAGGAGGTAGTGATAAGTAAATATTCATGATTAAAAGGGCAACAAAGAGTACCCTTTTAACATTAACAGAGGTCTCCTCACTTCATTCTTGGTTGTTATCAGCTTCCCTAAATGTATTATATTAGATAGTAATTACAAGCCAAGTATAAGAGCAGTGCAGTGTTCCCATTTTCACCCCATTCTTTCTGGAAGATGAACAAAGCTTGAATGCTGCTACGTTCCTAAAAAGATGGGCTACACTTTCTGATTTACACAGTAGCAGTCATAGATCTGAGAGGGAGCTGAGACAAAATGACTCATTTATTGTTATTGCCCTCCACTGGGACATATGATAGATTTAAGTTTTGCTTTGAATACTCTTTCACATAAAATACCCCATAGTTACCACAGATACTGGGCTTTTTGACAAAACCCCAGCATTTTGCATGGATATGGGACACTGATCGTCACAAAGCCCTTTCCTGATCTCTGCCTCAGGCAAATGGTGATTTCTGTTGATTTGCATTTTTACTTAAGTTTTTAATTTGTTACAGGGAGGTTGAGAAAGACTTTCTGCCTTGCAGTGCTCTC